TTTTCCCCCCCCCCCCCCCCCCCCGGTATCGAATAAAATCTAGTTAATTTATATAAATCAAAATATAGCAATATGGCGGCTTTACATGAGCACGAAGAGTTTGTTAAACATTTCTTATCAAAGAAAGAAAATACAATATGTAATTTATCCGATATCCTTCAGGAAAGATATCCAGAACAGAGAGGCTTCAGTGCACGTAGCATTAAACGCTTTTGTGAGGAAAAAGGAATTAGACAAAGAGGAATACTTTCGGATGAACAACTTGATAATGTTGTAAAAGTTGCTGTCTCAGAGGTTCAGTCCATATTATGGCGTTTTATTGTATTGTACTGTGTTGTTTTTATTATTTTTACAGTATATTATATTGCATTATCTTACCTTGTATTTACAATAATTCATTTGCATTACAATCTTGCATTGATGGATTGCATTAAACATTGGTCATTGCTGCCTTTATAACCTGTATTTTTTTGTGAAGTATTGTATAAATAAGTCACAAACAAACAATAACAAACCCCAATTAATAACAAACCCTATTTTTTATTCTTACCAATTTTTTTCTTCATATAATTGTTTTAATCCAGGGTTAAACACGGACTGTGAAAAGGTCATGAATGAAAAGGTCATGAATGAATTGCTTTATCGTGAATGTTCAAATGTAAACGTTTATTAATTAAAACGATTCAAAACACGACTTAAAATAAACAAACCTCAATTTAAGAAATCTATTATACCAAAATCGGCCAAAAAATATTGAACTGGCAACCGAAATTTTCATCTTTGTTTAACCCAAGTAAATTAGTGTCTTAGAGAGTCAATTGGGCGCCATGTTGTCTGTATACGAATTTATACATGGTTCGGTTAAAAGCACTCAGAATATGAAAAATTTCCCGTTAAAAACAACTTTTATCCATCCAAATCAAAGATAAGATGTATATTTGTCTTAATATATGTCATATACGTGCAATGAAGTAATAACAGTTGAATGAATTGCTGAGGTAAATCACTTACCTGTAGAATGCACGTACTCTTGAGGTTTAAAACGTGAGCGATTTACAGCAAACGTGACGGCAAGCTCCTGGTCACGTGGTTTCTAGCGGTTAGCGGTTAGACGTTTGCGAAAAATACGTCAATCTTAAGGTGTCTAATTTTAAAGTTCGTCCAATTTTATCAACCTTCTAAGCGTTTTAAAAGAAAGCCAGAAAGTAGTATTATATAATAGCCGTGCAGGATCAGGCTATCCTGCACGAGGAATTAAAATGCCTTCGCGGGGTTTTCGCGGGATTCAGAAAATGTCATTGTTTCACTGTAGTTATTTTATAGAACAATTACCAAATGGTTTTCCAAGCAGGATAGTGTGATCCATGCACTTGGGATGTTGCTCGACTTTCGGAAAGCGTAAAAATACACTCGCCTACGGTTCGAGTATTTTTACAGTACGCTTTCCGAACGTCTCGCGACATCCCTCGTATTCCTTTAATAACATTTTGTCGTATTAATATTTGTAAAATCACATGAGTGAATTCAGGAATGTTTACTCTTTATAACGATACTTTAAAACATGAATTTACTCCATAAAACTGAAGAGTTATCGCGGTTTGAAAATTAGGTATTTTTGCTATTATATACAGGGTGTATAAAAAAAGGAGACCTTTAGAAATCAAGCATATTGTTAAAATTTGAATGCCTTTTCAATTGCACATATGCTGAACCGTAGTGCGTGAAATATTGAAGGGGTGCATATATTAGAAAAAGGAGACCTTTAGAATTTGAAACAACGTTTAAACAAAAGATTGTCTGCTCTTGGGAACAATCTGCCATGCATACTATACGTAGATCGCATGTTATACGCACTCGTGGGCTTAGCAAAGTGCTCCAGGATTCAAATTATAACGGGTTGATGGTCAATGGTTGATTTCTAATCGTCTCCTTTTTCTAATATATGCACTCCATCAATTTTTCACGTACCACGGTTCAGCATATGTGCAATTGAAAAGGCATTCAAATTTTAACAATATGCTTGATATATGCGTCGTCGTCGTCGTCGTCGTCGTCGTCGTCGTCGTCGTCGTCGTATATTGAGTGTTTATATGTGAACAGCCAAAACAGGATTATCCATGTTGACATATTTAAAACAGTTAAAATTGTGATATTTATACTACGACAAATATACCTATACCTACAGTATTTATTATAAATATCAACACACAGTCACACACAGACTCACTCGTTTAAATCTACATCTATAAACACACTACACAGATCCCAAACATTCCCTTGTGAAATTACTGAAATAGCTGACAAACCTTTTAATTTCGACGGCTTTGAGGCTCAGTGAGTTTGAGTGAACCAC